TCCTCCTCCTCCTCCTCCTCCTCCTCCTCCTCCTCCTCTCCTCCTCCTCCTCCTCTCCTCTCCTCTCCTCTCCTCTCCTCTCCTCTCCTCTCCTCTCCTCTCCTCTCCCTCTCCCTCTCCCTCTCCTTACCTATCACTTGCTCCGCTATCTGCGCTATATGACCCGACATTTTGACTACCTTGATCAAATCATCGGCAATCGAATCGAACCGATTCATGTTGATTCGATTCGATTCAAAGCAGGTTGACTCAGTGAGGTCACAGGAGCTGGGCAACAAGGCACAAAACAGTACAATTGATGACCAGTTGGTCACGTCATACATGGAAGAGGACGGTGATGAGGAAGAGGCCTCCGGTGATTGGCATCCCGTCTTTCAGCTTGGCAGATGCGGGGCGCGGCAGCTGCAACATGGAGGGCGTCGGGGTTGATACTGCTCAGACCCACGATCGCAGATTCCAAGATCTGAGTTTGCGGCCATGAGGATGGGAGGCGTCTGAGTTTTACTCGCAGAAGGTAAAAAGTGCCTCACAAGCAGAAGAAAGCAGCAACAAGCAAAACCGGCAAGCATAGAGGATGGGAGGGTACCTGCGGTCGAAAGGTGACCGACGATCCCCAGCTGGCATCGCCTTGACTGTTGTCATGCGCTATAGGAAGCTTGGAGGATCCAGAAGCATCAAGCGGGAAAGCCTTGAGGGGATTAGTTTTACTCGCAGATATGATCCTTCCTCGTCCAGCTATCAGACCCTTGTTCTGCTCTTTGAGCACCTTCCCGCCTTACTGCTTCCCGTACCCAACGTATGTGCCGCTGCGCCCGCTGAGGATATATAGCCTAAGGGTAAAGCGTACACTGGCGGGCAGTAAATCCTATAGAGGATTTACTGGCAGAAGATAAAAAGTGCCTCAAGCAAGACAAAGCAGGAACAAGCTGAACCGGCAGGTACACAGTCCACAGCGAGAAGCTGCACAAACACACACAAAACACAAGCCCGAAAAGAACCAGCACTGCTGGCACCCAGACGCGGCAGCGCCAGCCCAAGCGCGAAGCCGCGCAGACAAGCAGCCTAAGGGTCAGGCAATCAAGCAACAAGCAGCAGGAGCATGCAGGAGGAATAAAATCCCTTAGACGCGATACCCGGAGGCAGCCGACTGACCACTGTCAGTCGAGACGTCCGCTGCCGCCACAAAGCGGGCGGCCGCGGACGGAGAAAGGGCAGCCGCCGACAAGGAGCCGGCGCTGCCCGGGTGTCCGCCTGGGGCAGCGGACGGAGGGAGGCTGGACACATGAACACGGTACCGCTCGAGGTAGTCCTCCTCGCTAGCCTCCGAGTCAGCGGTAGCCAAGTCAGTGGTAGCCGCCCGTGACGGCGGCGACGCCGCGGCAATGCCCAAGGACCGGCGTGACCCGACCGATGCCGGGGAGGAAGCAGGCGAGCTCGGACCAGCAGCAAGCACCCCAGTGGTGTCGAGCTCTCCGGAGGCACCCGACGTCACAGTGAGGGACGGAGACGCCTCGCCAGCTCCGCGCCGATCGTCAGCGCCACTCGAAGGGTTTCCCCCATCGGAGTCGGAGACCTCCGGCGAAGACTCCTCGGGCGACTCGACAAAGTCCGAGGAGGAGCTGTCCTCTGGCTCGAGAAGTGCTTGCGCCCGCAAGGGCGTCATGCGCCTCGCACCAGACAAGAGCGCTTCCAGCGTCAGCTGCATGGTGAGGCGCTGATAGGTGGCGGCGCGTTTGCGAGCCAAGACCTCAGCAGCAGGGCCGTCATCAGGCACAAAGTGCCGACCAAACGCCGCATCCTCAAGAGGCATTGAGCGCTGAGCAATGATGTCCGCCAAATACCAGAGGAAGCGGAGGGTGTCAGGATGCAGGGTACCGTCCGTCGAGATGGCAAGAGGGATGAACGCTCGAGGAGGAGTAGTCATGGCATATGCAGCGCGATGTTTGCGAATCTTCTCAGACGCTGCAACATGGAGGGCGTCGAGGTTGACCTCCCCCCACTTGGTCAGGTCGGCAGAGCTACCAATGTAAGGGTGGACCAACGTCACGTCCGCCATCAAGTGGACCGCACCCGGAGTCCCTCGATCGCGGATTCCAGGGATGTCCGCCAAATACCAGAGGAAGCGGAGGGTGTCAGGATGCAGGGTACCGTCCGTCGAGATGGCAAGAGGGATGAACGCTCGAGGAGGAGTAGTCATGGCATATGCAGCGCGATGTTTGCGAATCTTCTCAGACGCTGCAACATGGAGGGCGTCGAGGTTGACCTCCCCCCACTTGGTCAGGTCGGCAGAGCTACCAATGTAAGGGTGGACCAACGTCACGTCCGCCATCAAGCCCTCGTACTGCTCGGACCCTCGATCGCGGATTCCAGGGATGTGGATATCGCCCTTCATCTTGCGGCCATGAGGATGGGAGGGTACCTGCCGTCGAGAACGAGGATCCCCCACTGTATCGATGACGCTCTGAAGACCAGCTTCGTTCAGCATCGACCGAATCGTACGAGTAAGGTTGTCATGCGCCGTGGGAAGCTTGGAGGATCGGCGTTTGCAGGTCTGGAGATGATGTGCAGCAACGGAGGGATCGAGCTCGCGCTGACATCCATCACATTTCGTCGGACACTGGCAGATCGGCATGCCATGGAGATAGCAGTCGAGCATCTGAGCATAGCGGTGCGGGAAGGCCTTGAGGGGGTAGTAGCTCGAGACTCGCATCGGAGAGTGGCTCAGGTCTCGCTCAGGAAAATGAGCGAAGATGGTAGACTGCAAGACCCTATCCTGCGACTTGAGCGAGTGTGTCCTGCGGCTGTGCAAGGTGAGGATATCACGCTGCTGATCGGTCAGCGCAGCGCGAGCATGCACATGGCGAGGGAAGACGCGCATGACAAGAGGAGTCACATTTCGCTGCGCAGGGGGGAGGAATGAAGTGCTCATGAGACGAGTCGACGAGAGCGCGCAAACCAGGGATGTGTACCACAGATGCCGGGGGGCGTCCTGCGTCATCAGGCACAGCAGCCGGGGCAGGTGGGATCGCCGCGCCATCTGCAGCCGGTGCAGGAGCCTGGACACGACGGTAGAGGATCGCTCCAGCATTATGAACGAAGTCGTGCGCCTCAACGAAGAAGGTCGCCAGAGGATGCTTCTGGGCACGGAGAGATCTCGAGCAGTGAACGTCCAGGCTATGAGGAGAGGTCAGCGTCCGGGACATGGGCTGGTCAGAGTACCAAGCGAGGAAGCGAGCGATAGCCGTATAGTAAACAGCGGGGTGTAGACCCTCAGAGGGCGTGAACTCGTCCCCTCCCCGACTATGCGGAAGCTCCCGCTTGAACCTCGCAAACTCGAGCAGGTCGGGATGCGCGGCGAGGTACTGCGAGGAAGGCCAGCGGTGGTATTTCTCTAGCGCCAGGTGGACAGAGAGGTCAAAGCGACGAATCTGTGATTGGACCCGCGGGAGAAACGGAGAAGACCCCTGGAGGAAGAAGCGCAGCTTCTGGAGATGGCTCGCCCTCACCAGCGTCTTGAACATGAAGCCATGCTGGACGAGCCCGAGCTTCGAGAGCTCTTCGTTGAGGGTAGAAACCTTCGCTCGGAGCTGACTAGCATGAAATCCATCCGTGCCGATAGGCAGGCCGCCAAGTGTAATCCCGCCAGTGACGACCTCGAAGTGAAGAAGTTGAGTCTTGAGACGGCGCTTAAGGCTCTTCTTCAGCTGCGAGAGATCAGGGTGTTGATGCCAGGAGGGGATGTAAACTTTCGACTCGCGAGGTTGAATCTCTAGCTTCAGATCAGCTAACATGTACTTCTTCATAGCGGACGTAGCTGCAACGGCATCCTCGAGTGGACCGACAAGCACGACGTTGTCAGCATAGGCCAAGACTCGAACAGAGGGAAAAAGCTGGCGCTTGAGAAATACCACCGCTTTTGCTTGAGGCACTTTTTCCCTCGTGTGTCCAGCCTCCCTCCGTCCGCTGCCCCAGGCGGACCCCCGGGCAGCGCCGGCTCCTTGTCGGCGGCTGCCCTTTCTCCGTCCGCGGCCGCCCGCTTTGTGGCGGCAGCGGACGTCTCGACTGACAGTGGTCAGTCGGCTGCCTCCGGGTATCGCGTCTAAGGGATTTTATTCCTCCTGCATGCTCCTGCTGCTTGTTGCTTGATTGCCTGACCCTTAGGCTGCTTGTCTGCGCGGCTTCGCGCTTGGGCTGGCGCTGCCGCGTCTGGGTGCCAGCAGTGCTGGTTGTTTTCGGGCTTGTGTTTTGTGTGTGTTTGAGAGTATAGGATTTACTGGCAGAAGGTAAAAAGTGCCTCAAGCAAAACAAAGCAGGAACAAGCTGAA